CGACCCATAAGGAGGAGAGAGGGGTGAGTTTTGGAATAAGTGGGGACACCAATTTTAATTTTAGATTTTTTACAAAAATCTCAAAATTAATTTCAGTTTCCTTAAGGAAGAAAACTCCATTAGGAGGGCAATCAATTTAAAGAATTGAATGTTCAAATTTGAATTAAATCGCATAAATTGATGGCGTAAATTAAGGAAGCTACTTTTAAAGGAAACAATTAAGTGGCCCATAAAACATTTGAATTTCAATTTTGAAATTCAAGGAGAGGGAAGCCGGCGGCTAGAAGGAGAGGCAAAGGGCGGCCACGGTGGCTGGCCGGCGGGAGGACAGTGGCCTGGAGGTTCGGCGGCCTGAACGCGGCTGGAGGAGGGGCGCGGGAAGTGCTGTGTGGAACGGGTGAGGGGAATGGAGTTCAAGGAAGAATGCGATCCGGCGAAATCTCCTTGACACTAATTGATCACAAAGAAAAATTGGAGGAAGGTTTAGAACTCACAAAGAGATCTAGCTCTTCCCAAAACTCACTAAGAGATTTGGGAGAGGGATGCACTCACAAAGAGAACACAAAGTAGAGAACTCACTAAGAGACTCAAAAGAAAAAGAACTCACTAAGAGATCTAAAAGATGGAACTCACAAAGAGAACGCAAAAAGCAAATTTTCATTCATTTGAACTCACTAAGAGATCTAAAAGATGGAACTCACAAAGAGAACGCAAAAAGCAAATTTTCATTCATTTGAACTCACTAAGAGATCTAAAAGATGGAACTCACAAAGAGAACGCAAAAAGCAAATTTTCATTCATCAATTCATCCTCTCATTACATAAGAAAGGGCCTCTATATATAGGCCTAAGAAACTAAAACAAGACACATATGCCCCTAAGGCTTACATAGGACGACCCTCTTAAGCGAGGGTAAAAACGAAAAATTCATAATAAAAATTTAAAAATTACAACTAAAATATAAGATAACGTGGGACGATGACAGCCGTTGATCTTCAACTCCTCAGATAGCCATGGATGGTTGGATGTCCGCATCAGTCTATCTCTACCTTTCTTAACATAAGTCAAATATAATACCTCAATTTTCCTAACCGGGTCATCGGAAGGCCTCCGTTTAATGTGACCAAATCATCTAAGGCGACTTTCTCTAATCTTATCTTCCAGTGGAGCTACTCCAACCTTTCCATATATATGCTCATTTCGTATTCTATCTCTAAGAGTAAAGCCACTTATCCACCTAAGCATCCTCATCTCTGCAACACGTAACTTAGTATTATGCTTCTCTTTTAATGGCCAACATTCGTCACCATAAAGCATTGCAGGTTTCACCACCATCTTATAGAATTTTCCCTTAAATTTGAGGGGGATTTTTCTATCGCACAAGAAGCCTGATGCATTCCTCCACTTCAACCATCCAACTTGAATTCTGCTAATAATAAGAGATACAAAAATGTGCAAAGGCGTTGATGTGCTTGAGTATAGAGATTTGGCACGTAGTGTAGAGTTTCTTTAGCTAGTGAGCTTAGCTGTAAAGGGACTGCAGCTTGTGCTCATGGAAGAACTAAAAAAATAGGCAGTTGATTTATAGTTTAGGGAGGGTTTTAAAAACAAACAAATAGTCTGAGGTGATCATAAGCTTTTAGAGCTCTTCTTTGTGCATGACAATATAGTTGCCTCACAATAACCCTTTTGTCGCTTCTTTGTGAGGAAAAGGTTAGTAGCTGATAGTTGTATAAATCAAATAAAATAATAACCATGCATATAAATATAAAATTGGCATTTAACTTTGCATCGCAACCACAACTCATGATATATAACTTGGATTCGTTCAAATTTCTCTTGATGGTGGTTTGCCTAAAAAAATTAAAAATTAATTAAGGGACCATTGTTGTCTGAAAATTGAAAGATTTATACAACCCGAAGATTTAAATATTTTATTATATTAATGGGATTGTCAAGTACTTCGATGCATATTTCTACTACATACAAATACACAAAGTCCCCTCATAAGCAAATGAATAAAAAAGAAATTTAAGTACGTGACTGTTAACTCCCAATTTATAAAGGTGATGGCATCTTAGTCCTCGGAACTCAGATGCATGAAATATTCATTAATTAGAACATAGAAATTTTGAATTGTGGCTACCGTTTTGGTAAGAGGAGGCCTCAAAACAGCTCTGGTGAGTGTTATCATGATTTTCTTTATTGGTCGCATAAAAGTTTAAACAATAGGTGATCATTACTAGTTAGCATAAAATTGTTGGATTGTGGAGTGTATTTCGGTTGGTGTTATAACCCTCTTTTGTCCTCCTCTCTTGTCTCGATTAACTCTCCTAGGATTTAATAAATTCTGATTTAGAAGATTGGCTAAACTATGATTTACAGGATTAACTAAATCTACTTGAATTAAATGCTGCATGTAACCAAACAACTCCTACATGTTGATAAGGCATTTAAAACTAAAATATAGATTTTGGTGTAAGCATGTATATTTCTAACTGCTACTCTTTTAATCTATGAATGATTCTGTAGCAAAGGAAATTTAGTCACTAATTGCATTTAATTTTAGATTTTTAGAGCTTAGAAGGAACCATTTAAAAAATTTTATTAAATGACTTGATGGGACATTGATGCACTATGTAACGGAGTTGTAGATTAAATGCGAATTTGAGAAAAAATATTAGACAATGAAGGATGAAACAACAATACAACGAATCTGTAAATATAAATGTTGAATCCTCAAAGAATCTAAACTATTTAATACTTTAGATGTATTTTGTTAATTCAATTTGTCATGATCAGATTTTTCACTTAGCTTATGAGGTTATTTATAAAAAATTTCAAAATTTTGAAAATTCAAAATACATCTAGTTTATATTACATAATAACCCTCGTGAAAATAATAAATGACAACATGAGAGGAACTAATTCCCTAACTATTGCAAATATATAAAGAAAATTCTCATCAATATTATTGATCAACTGTTCGACAATGTTTGACATACAACATTAATTCCCTCCGGGTACTTGTTCGTAGATTAGATTAACAAACATTTTGAGAAGCTTATATGACATGATATTCTGATAGGAAATACTTGAGTTTGCAGTAACCCTAAGGTAATACTTGAGTTCGCAAGCAATCCTAACCCAAATCGATAATCAAACTGAAAAATTACTGCTGTCCACAGCAGGAAAAACCGCAAAACCAAGAGAAAACTCAACAATAGACTTGTATTCCACTAGGAGATGAAATAAAATAGCAACGATACAATTGTTCTTCAATTTGAGAGGAAGAACAACTCTCCAAATCTCTAGCCGTAGCCTAGAGCCCAAGCACAAACCCTAGATCTCAAATTCCAATTCAAATTCAAGATGATCCTCCCAATTACCTCCTAAGCTCCTAATTAACATCAAAGGACAATTACAAACTTCCTAAACAACCCCTTCATTCAAATTTTCCATCCTAAGTTTGAATTAATCCCAGCGATGGCCCACTTAGGAAGCTCTCCCCCCCCCCTCCCATCCTTTCTCTCTCTGTTTTCCGCCCCCTGTGGGGCCTGCCGGGTGTAGACAAGGACCGGTCCAGGTTGGACTGGTCCAGCCGGCCCCTCCCGGGCCGGCGGCATATCTATTCTTTCCATTATTTATAACCATTTTCATTGAAAACTATCTATTGATTCTTGCAAATATTCAACAGAATGCCACAAAGGCTACAAGCCATTTTCGAACACAATTACAACAGCTGTCTAATGGCTTAGAATATTTAATTTATCTTAAGATTTTAGATCCAGTTTCAGATTTGATTTCACTTTAGTTTTACCCATAAGGTTATATGGTAGACCATGTTGATATTAATTTGTTAGATAGCTTATATGACATTATATTCCTTATTTTATTTATAACAATTTTCATTGAAGCTATCAATTAATTCATGCAAATATTCAACAGAATTTCAATTTTAGATTCATCCATAAGGGTATATGGTAGACCATGTTGATGCTAATTTGTTAGATTATTATCTTCGAATCTCTTATAGAAGAGGTTCATTATCATAATGTTTCTAAGTATTTTCCTTGTCAAATCTTTTGTTGCTTTGATGCCAATTTTGATCATCCAATATTACACCAGAAGAGGTTCATTATCATAATGTTTCTAAGTATTTTCCTTGTCAAATCTTTTGTTGCTTTGATGCCAATTTTGATCATCCAATATTGGTCGGTGTACAATGAAAAATATGTTTGTTCATGTTCAAATATGAAATGCCTATGTAATGTAGAGATAGAACAATAAGATCTGAAACCAAGCTTTACAACTGGACGTAAAATAATGCTCTTCAAAGAAAGTTGTAATCAGATTTTGGGTGTTTAATAGTATAAATAAGTGATGTGAGAAGTGAGATGGCGAAAGGGAAAATGAACATAAAAAGAACAAAAAATGCAAGCCTTGGAGTAACATCTGGTATGTTAATGACAATATTACAATCAGCTTTCGGGATTTGTGTTCAAAGAACTTCAATGTTAATGTTAGGTGGCTATTTTCTTTTGTTATATATTTCCTTGCCCATTAAGGCTCTATGCGTGATATTATTTATGCTGAGGCTTAAATTATTTTTATATTTCATACAATGAATGTCTATTTTGCATGATTTTGTATATTTATATCTTTAAATGTGCTTTAAAGTTGCTAATAAGAGTGATTATGTTACTAAGAACATGTGAAACATATTCTAAAGGTCTTCTATGCACCAGCAGGCTTGTGCTAAAAGGTGGCAGCTTGGAGTTGAATGGAGATGTTATAGGTTTGAAGATGGAGAGCAACGGCATCACGATTTTGGAGCCTTCTGACACCTCTGTTAACTTCTCAAATACCTCTGGGAAAACAAATATTCATCTTGCTGTTTCAGATATATTTATGAATTTTTCCTTTAGCATCCTGAGGCTATTTCTAGCAGTTGAGGAAGATATTTTGTCATTTCTTAGAATGACTTCGAGGAAAGTGTCTGTAGTTTGCTCTCAGTTTGACAAAGTTGGAACAATCCAGGGTAAACCAGATCTACTCTCCATTATGATGCATTCATCACTGATGGCAGTGCATATTCCTAAACCTATTTTTGTGTATGGGTGTGTGCGTGTGCTTATTTCTCGATAAATAATTTAAAAACCTTAGTCTGGTATACCCTCCTGGTACTTATTTTTCAGAGCTCATTTCACTATTTATTTCATCAGGTAAAAAGGGCGACCAAGTATATGCCTTTTGGAGACCCCGTGCACCATCTGGATTTGCTGTACTTGGAGATTGTTTGACGCCACTGTATGTATAATTCTGATCAAAATCTTCCTGCCAGCATACTGAATTGATATTTTAACTCCAAAATTGTTGACTTCTGAACTTTGTTTTTGATTGATAGGAACGAGCCACCTTCTAAAGGGGTTCTTGCTGTAAACACAAGCTTGGTAAAAGTAAAGAGGCCTGTGTCATTCAGCTTGATTTGGTCTTTCAGTCCGGAGAACACTGCTAGCAGCAGCTATGATTTATTGATAAACGTTCCAAACAAGAATGATAGCTCGTCAAATGAAAGCTGTTCCATTTGGTTCCCAGTTGCACCTAAAGGCTATGTGGCAGTTGGTTGTGTGGTTTCCTATGGAAGGGGACAACCATCATTATCTTCTGCTTTGTGTATCTTGTCTTCCTTAGTGTCTCCATGTGCAGTGAAAGACTGCATTGCATTTCAAATGGCTGATATGTATGCAATCTTTCTTCTTATCTGTCAAGCGTTCTTTAGTGTTTGTGCAACTACAGTGGTATCTATGTTGTTCTTTTTAATCTTTTTTTATATGCTGTTAATAGGGCATTTTGGCGAGTGGATAACTCATTTGGGTCCTTTTTGCCTGCAAACCCTGACATGAGCATTAATGGAAGGGCGTATGATCTCCATTGTATGATCTTTTGGCAATCAGAGAAGCCTAGCAGGACTTTAAAAAGTTCAACCGCCCAAAATAATCAGCAAACCTCTAGTCATGGTCCATTACTTGAAGGACCCATGTTGACCTCAAGGCGGCTTTTCGAAGTTGTGGCACGTTTCAAGTTAATATGGTGGAATCAAGGAACAAACCCTCGGAAGAAATTGTCTATATGGCGTCCTGTGGTTTCACATGGGATGATTTTTCTTGGTGATCTTGCCGTTCAAGGGTATGCACCGTCTTAATTTAACGTTGATCTTGTCATACACATGCTTAATAAATTCACTTGATTTCTTGCATTGAACTGGACTGCAGTTATGAGCCTCCCAACTCAGCTATCGTCCTTTATGACACTGATGATGAAGGTTTTCTTAGACGCCCTCAGGACTTTCAACCTGTTGGACATATTAGAAAGTATAAAGGAAGTGATGGTATAAATTTCTGGCTGCCTCTTGCTCCTCCGGGATTTGTTTCCTTGGGTTGTATCGCATCTAAAGGTCCACCCAAGAGTGATGACTTCAACTCTTTAAGGTGCATACGTAGTGATATGCTCATAGGCGATCAGTTTTCTGAAGATAATATATGGGATACTTCTGATACATTGGCTTCAACTGAATCGTTTAGCTTATGGGGTGTTGGTTATGAGGTGGGCACATTTATTGTCCGAAAAGGATTTAAAAAGCCTCCAAAAAGGTTTGCTTTGAAGCTGGCTATTCCAAATGTATCCAGTGGGTCAGATGATACGGTGATTGATGCAGAAATTAAGACTTTTTCTGTGGCTATTTTTGATGATTACGGAGGGCTGGTGAGACTTCTTGGTTAGCTATGTTTGATATTGCTGTACAGAATTTTTTTGGACATTTCAACTGATGCTTGTCATCAAGATTTCAAATTGCATTAATTGGGTATTTTGATGTTTTATTTTTGTGAGGTGAGGCATATGTCTCAAAAGTGTTCAGGCATGAGCTTCAAAATTTAGACCATTAAATTAGTTAAAAATGTGAGAAATAAAGCATTTGAGAGTAATCCTCTTTAGAAATTTATGACAAGTAAAAAAAGATGATGTCATTTTTCTCTTGATAAAGCATTGGAGAGTAACTCAAAAGTATCAAAATAATATTATAGAATGTCATGGAAATATTTAATAATAAGCATGAAATCAAAGATAAACAAGAAGTTTAAAATAAACACAAGTTAACATAGAAAAATAAACTAATTATGATTTGGGACTCTAAATTCAAATATTCTCTCCCACTTCCCTCAAAAGGCATCGTTGTTGATGACTTTCTCACTTGGCTTCTCACTTGTATCATTATTCTTCCAATCTTCATCATCTTCAATGTCAATCATTTTCATCTTTTCTAATCAATAAAATCCAAAAAGGGCATTTATCACGACTTGTCCTGAAGGCTCGAGTTAAATGAAGCCGAGATTGACAGTCAGACAGATTTCATAGATTCTTTCAACACTAAATACTCAAATAAAAATAAATATCCAAAATTTAATGAAAAAGCCACTAAAACAGATAACAATTATCTAGTTAAATCATACAAATAAAACAGTGCATACCTATTTTCTGATGAAATTCTTCTTCTATATATGCAGCCTTCTTGATCAGTCATTTATTAAATAGGGGATTCATCTGAATTGTTCAATTTAATGGGTCAAGTTTTCACTATCATACTCAGTTGTCAATTATGGTTTATAGTATAGCATTAATAATGCATCATGTATATAAATAGTCATGCCATATTATCAAACTTTTCATTTTATAATAGTAATAAAATATGAGTATTATAAAATTTTGATTTACATGATCATTTTTTAGTAAGTCTGTCATTCAGCTTTTGACTTTTAATAAAGCATTTATTTTGGGAGCACCTTTTATAATAGTATCAATTAAGGATTTTTCATTTCTTTTTCTCTTTCATTTATTTTTCTGTTTATCGTCCACGGTATATGATATCCTTAGCGGTATCATAAAGGTGTAGTCTCTTCTATATGCATGCATATAGCTTTTATTTTTTAATAATTTTCATTTCATATAGTATTTCATTCTTTTTCTTTTTATTTTCATTTATATATCATAATTTCTTTTTCCCACTAGGAGGCATATGATTCAAGGCATTTTGCATGCAATTTGTCCCGATGCCGGCCTCAAGGCATGTCTCAATTGGGCAATTCTAAACAACGTTGATCATTTTCCAAACTTATATCAGCGAAAATCTGGGCTTTGCTTATGTTTTAGTTTGTGTTTAATAATATTATCCTATGCGCTATCTTTTCTTTTCATGTTTTATTGCATAATAATCTTCAATTTTATGGCAGATGGTTCCTCTTTTTAATGTTTCTCTAAGTGGCATTGGGTTTAATTTGCATGGAAGGCCTGACTATATGAATTCTACTGTGAGTTTTTCATTGGCTGCAAGGTCTTACAATGATAAGTATGATGCTTGGGAGCCTCTTATTGAACCAATGGATGCATTTCTAAGGTACTCTCTTAAGCAGACTCTGAACAACTGATGTTTTGTTGATGAAGCAACACTTTTTGTTCCTCTTTCACTTTAGAAGCACCTCACATCAAATAGATAGTGAATTCTGGCCGCTCTTTCTTCAACCCCTAAGATATTCCCGTAACAGTTAGTGTTAGAGGCCTATAACATGGGCTTGTGCTTGGATTAGGTCCTGTATCTGAAAGCTGCTTGTTGTTTCAACCTGCAGCGCTGATTGCATTTTTTTTGCTATTGCTCAGTCATTAATTGGCTAATTGGGAAAACAGTTGGGTTTATTAGGATAACGTAGATTTGTGATGAGAATAGGATGTGCACTCTTGTTTGTCAATGAAACTAGAATTGATTAACTTAATCTTATGTTTTATGTTAGTTTGTCTTTTACTTCAATACAAAAAAAAATAAAAAATAAAAAAGAGAAGTTGGTTTTTGGTGCTCCATTTATCAGATATATTTTAGAATTCACGTGGTCTTTCCCTGTTTATATTTGGGTTATATTCTTCATTTAAAATATGGCCTAATCATATAAATAGTAACTACGGTCAATTAATTCAAATGGTGGTGTATGAAATTAGTTGAGTGCTAGCTCTTTGAAATTCAATCCCCTTGTGGATGTTTAAGGATTCATGTCTAATTCTGTTTCTTGTGCTATAAGGTTTCATCACATTGCTTTAGGTATTCAACAACCTATTATTCTGATGAATCAACATCAGCAATTTGAAGACTTGATACGTATCTTTATTTCCCACTCTCTATTTTCGTTCTTCCTCCTTTTTCTCACTTTCCTAAAAAATTCACGTTTTTTTCTCCCCTTTCTAAATAAATTTAGTATCAAATTGAAAATTCTGTTATTTTTTGCATTCATTTTTACCTAATTACTGTTGTATTGCTTTTTTTGCGGCATTTTCCATTTTTATTGATTTTTTCCCAAGAAAGCTATTGTTTTTTCATCACTTCGGTGAAGTTTTTGTTTCTTCCACTCTTGCATAAGCAGCCACCACCACCGCAGTAGGTCCCTTACCATCCTGCAAGCAGTATTATTCATCTGAGTTGTATATGACACCATCATAAACTTAAATTAAAAAATTAATCCATTGGTAGTCTAAAAGCTAGAAATCTTTCCTCATTTCTATGGGCTCCAAAGCTTTAAAATATTTCTTATCCTAGCTTAGAAGTTCAGGGTTTCCTCCCCTTCTCCTCCAACCCCAAAGTTGTAGGAGCTTTTCCCCTCTTCTTAGCTCCAAAGCTATGAAAAAATCTTTAACATTTAGCACAATAGTCATATGTTGGATAGGTTCTATCTTTTTTTTTAGCCTTAAAGCTAAAGGGAACGCCCATTTCCTTAGCTAAATTAGGAAGGAATATATGAGGGCAATAATGACTGATTTTGTAGTTATTTGTTTCTTTATTAAGATATATTGTATAGATTTATAAATAGGGATGAGACTTGTGTAATAAAATAAGATTTTTTCCTTTTAAACTCCTAATTTCAACATGGTATCAGAGTCACAAAGGAAGTAAAGAGGAAACCATAGGGAAGGAGCCAGAATAGACGAGCGAAAGCCACAGGACGAGCCGAGCAAACTGCGTACGCATACGGACGGAGCTGGTTACTCCGTGCGTGCGAGATGAAGCCGAACGACGGAGCTGAAAGCCAGGACAGAGACTCCTGGTTGTGTGATGACTCGAGCGTGCAGAACCTTGCAGAAGAAGAAGCCAGACCTGACTCGCCTGGATAGAGATTCTTACGTGCGGAACCATCGTTCGACTTGAGCGTGCGGAACCTTGCGGAAGAAGCCGGACCCGACTCGCCTTGACGGAGAGTCCTGCGTACGTGAAGACTCGCGCGTGCGGAACCTTGCGGAAGAAAGGGCCGAGCAAGCCCTTCTTATTTGCGAAGGCTGTGAGACTGAGCCAAACCCAATCCATTGAACTACTAAATATTAGCCTTCATTGCTAATATAATTAAAAGATAGCCTTTATTACTATCTATTAGTGACATTATAATGTCTAAAATAAATTCATCCCAAAGCTTTGATCAATTTGAAGATTCTATGGTATTCCAAGAAAGATGTGATCTCTAAAGCATGCAACCTTCTTATCATCTTAACAGGAAGAACTATCTAAAGTGGTCTCAATTTATGAAGACCTACTTAAAGGGGAAAGGAAAAATACACCACCTCAAAGGAGGAGGACCGAAAGGGGGAGATCCTAATTTTGGGGCATGAGATGAAGTAGATTCTATGATTATGTCATGGTTGTGGAATTCCATAACTCTATAAATTAGCAATATGTTTATGTTCCTTTCCATTACAAAAGACATATGGGAGGCTGCTAGACACACTTTTTAAAAAATACGGGATGCTGCTCAAATCTTTGAAATTAAAATCAAAGTAGTAAGCACAAAATAAGGAAGTAAGATCGTGACGGAGTATGTCACTCTTCTACAAAACCTATGGAAGAACTTGGTCACTACAAATGCATAGAGACCAGATGTCCAGAAGATATTGCTATCCTAAAGAATTTTATTGAAAAAGATGGAGTTTATGAGTTTCTTGCAACTGAATATAGAATTTGATCAAAGAAGAGTTCAAATCCTTGGCAAAGAGGAGACACCATCATTAAATGAAACAATTGCTCTCATCCGCATTGAAGAAAGCCGACGAGGTGTAATGTTGGTGCCAAAAGTTGTTGAAAGCTCAACAATGATGACCAAAGACTCAATATACCATGGAAGGAAAAAGATAAGAACTCTGCAAAATTTAAAGACAAACTATCTTTGGTGTAGTTTTTGCAAGAAATCAAGGCATACGAAGGAGACATGTTGGAAGATACACAGAAAGCTCCCAAGTAATGAGTGGAACGAAAGAAATGAGAAAATAGACACATTATATGCCAACACTACAACAAGTCAACCCTAACCTAGAAACACCTACCAGCTTCAAAGAACTCAATAAATAATACATTTATAAACTAAGACAACTCCTGGTATCCCTTGAAAAATCACCTGCATCTTCCTCTCTTGTATTTTCAGGTAGGTTTCCTATATCACTGGATTAAGCACCTCTAGAAATCATTTAAAAGGATTATGGATCATTGACTCAGGAGTCACATATTACATGACAAACTCCACTACCCACTTCATCAACTATAATCGTTGCTCAAGTGACAAGAAAATCATCACTGCCTATGGTTCTCTTGTTATAGTAGAAAGCCAATGAGACATACCCTTATCTCCTTTCCTCACTCTAAAAAATGTGCTCCATGTACCTCAATTATCTACAAACCTCATATCTATGATGCACCGACACCGACTCGGCGACACGGACACGGGACACGACAATTTTTAAAAATATAAGACATGGGTGCGGCGTGGACATGACATAATAATTTTTTAAAATAATATATAATAATTTTTAAAAATACATGACACGGACACGGCGTGGACAGATGGCTCTTTTGAACCTTCACCTAATCCACCCCCGCCAGAAGCAGAGCTCATTTTGCTAACAAACCAATCATACATATGAATACATCAAATTAAATTGATATAAAGTGCAAAAAATAACAAAATATTATGTCAACTATGAATTTGAAGATTTATTTTAACAATTATTTGTACTATCAATAATAAAACAACATGAATACAACAATATACAGGTCTGTCGGGGTCCAAGGGGGCGCTGCCCCTTGGCGGGGAACAAAATTTTATTGTAAGAGTAATTTTAAAGTTATGCTTGTTTTTAAAGTTCGTAAGTTGTTTGTATGGGAAGATACCGAGTGGTACTGAGCATGTACCTAGCAGTACCGTGTCCGACACGCGTGTCCGATTTTAATTTTAATTTTTTAAATTGTGGCACTTCAATGCCGTGTCGGACACGTGTCCATGCCGTGTCCGACGCGTGTCCGTGTCCGACACGTGTCCGACACTGCATACCCTCTTTAAGTGCCGTGTCGGTGCATCATAGCCTCATATCTATACAAGAACTTACTAGTGACCATTATTATCAAGCATTATTTAACCCTACCTATTACTTATTCAGGATCAAGGAAGATGATTGGACTTGCTTAGAAGAGAGCTGGACTGTACTCCCTGGAAAAGCTGAACAAATATAAAAATAACTACTCTATGTTTGTCACGACCCGGCCCGGTAAGCTCACATAGGCGAGGCGGGAACAAAAGTCAGACAATAAATTTTAAAACATTTCGAATAGCATATCTAAAGCATATCCAAACATAAAGAAAGAGCCCCTAAAGATTCCAAGTATTTTTTTTTTTTCTTCGATCATTCAAAAGGGGGACAGAAATTCTTGGAGTTAGGTTGGTGAAAATTTTCTTAAGAGTTGATTGTCTGTTTTTGTAAATTTAGCATAAGATAGGTCCATTTGTAGCATCTTTTTGATAGCTTTGCTTTCCAAAAAATTGTCACATTTATTTTGAGCTACACTTTTCTTGCCAAAATTTTAAAAAAATTTATGGTGGGAAGTAGCTTTTTTATGATCAAATTAGTTGAGTGTGGTAGCTATAAAAAGTTACTATTGGACTTTTAAAAAGCAATAAAATCTATAATATCCAATACCCACAACAACTCTAAAAAAAATTATTTTTCCCACTGCAGTATTATAAATACTTTTACAGACTGCTGGAACCGTCCTAAATAGACCCTATGTATTTCTTTTCTTTCCTACTATACCTCATTACAACGCTCAAAATTAATTTGGAAGGAATGTTGCTATTGTATTTTAAAGAAACTAACTAGCATGCCTACTTTGCGGTGTTTAAAGCATTTTGATGGTAATGTTGAAAATATGAAGTTTGAAGTGTTGAACATGTTAATAGGTTTGTTCTTACGGGTGTGTAAGTAATTCCCCCTGGTATCAAAATAGCATTTTTATTTCATCAATATCTTGATATTTAAATAAAAGCTTGTTATCTTCACTCTTGATTAATCAAACTTGATATCTTTGTTCTCTTTGATATGTAGACTATTGGGCATATCTTCAAAGAGATGGATAGCTTTTGCTTTGCTTACTATATATTTTCTGCCAATTAATTAGTATCCTATTAATAATTGTATGTATGTTTTTTTATAATTCTTTAAAAGCATATTTATTTTATTTTTTGCCTCCTGACACCATCATTATTCCTTCCCATTTGATTTATCTCTAGCTCTTTTAAAACTTTTATGAGAATTGTCTTAATGCAACTAGATATTTAATCATAAGTTAAGTTTTGTTCTATATGTAAGTTTTTGTTTTTTTTAATCTCTCCTTTAAATCCATCGAAGAATATTAACAAGCTCTTATGAAATATTTCACTAACTTATTCTATGGTGATTGTTTCTTTTAGTAATTTATTTTCTTTCAACTACAATATTGCTGTACAGGTATCAATATGATCTAAATACACCAGGCTCTGCTACCCAGGTTCGGATAACCTCTACCAAGGATCTCAACTTGAATATCTCTGTATCTAATGCGAACATGATTTTTCAAGCTTATGCTAGCTGGAATAACCTAAGCCTCGTTGATGAACCTTATGTAAAAAATGTATGTGTTGTTGGATGGTTTTCTCATGTTGTGGCAACTTGATGTTTTCTTGGTTGCACTGATTTTTTATTTTTTCTAGATTTATCAGGAAGTCAACCCGTCAAAATATGCTGAGGGATCTGTAATTGATATTGATCATAGAAGAAATTATTTCATTATTCCCCAAAACAAGCTTGGGCAAGATATATTTATCCGAGTTGCTGAAACAACGAGATTGGCAAACATAATTAAGATGCCATCAGGAGGCAACATACGTGTAAAAGTTCCTGTATCAAAAAATATGTTGGACTCTCACTTGAAAGGTTGTATCAATAGAGTCTCTCAGTCAATGTTGACGATTATCATTTCAGAAGCTGAAGTAAGTTTTTAACATTTCGGCTTAGTCAGACTTATTTCAGTATGATGAAATAAGTTAAGGTGTTGTTTTTCATTGAGAAGCCAAATTACTAGTTGTCCTACAATTTATTTTTTAGTATATTTTAAAATTATCTTTTTTTTTTTTTTTCATTTCTAACATGTAATCCTCACTATCAATGTTAACACCATTTACAAATGGTGTAGTGAACTTTTTTAACAAATTTCTTCCTCCTTTCTTCTTGCACAATGACCTGTAATGATTTCTTTCCAAGTGTCATTTTGATATTATGTTGCTAATGGTTGTGACTGACATTTTGTTCGTCTTTTGATCTTCAGTTTCCTACAAGGAAAGGAATGGCATCTTCCCAATATACTGTAGCAGCACGTCTTTTTTTAATCCCTCCTACTGGGTCTTTTAGGAAACAACAGAGTGCTCGAACTTGTGGTGCCATCCCTGAACCTTTAGATGCTACGAAGTCCAGTGTAAAATGGAGTGAAATACTTTTCTTCAAAGTAGACATTGTGGTAATTAATCATATCACATCTTTCAAGTAAAGGCAATATTTACTTGCTCTCTAAATTTGACATGTAAACTTTCAATGTTTATTTTGCTCATAATTTCTTAACAAAGTCACTGCAATATATCTTTGAATCGATACAAGTTATTTTTTAGGGCCATCCTAATTTTCAGATTGTTTGTCGATTCATCTTTAATTTGAGAATGATTGGAGATTTTTTATTGGGCTTCTTGATTCTCATCATGTTCCTAACTAATTATCTCTAGAAGGTGATTACTTAAGACCTTTTTCAAGAGACCTTACTATGTCTATTATTTTTTGATAAGGATGCTTGAATAGTCTTTTCATTTTGATTGTTCCAAGGAACTAACTGTTATTCTAGTTTGGGTTGCTTTTTCTCAACTTTGAATTGACAATTTCAACCAATCTACTTAAATTTTTTCTTGGTTCTAGTTTTGGAAAGAATCAATTGGATGGTTTTATTGCTAGATTGTCCCAGTTGCCAATGGCTAGGGTTTTGTTCTCTTTGGAGAAGGAGATTTGGATTGGTTCCATTCTCTGATGCATCGACATTTCATTTTAAGAGGGTATGCAGTGTCGGACACGGACACGCGTCTGACACGGCGAGGACACGTGTCGGACATGTCATTAGTGTGTCCCATTTAAAAAAAAAATTAAACCGGACACGCGTGTCCGGCTATTGTATAATTAAATTAAAAAAAATCCTAATCCCACTATTTCATATTAGCCGGTTCACACCCGAGTCTTCATCTTCTCCTTAATTTCGTATTCCTATTCGTATTCGTGGTTTTCCGAGCGATTGAGGCAAGCAGCGATCGATTGGAGATCGCACCCTTGATCTTCCCTTCCGGCCATAAGCAACAACCAATAAGCCATCCTCCTTAGTTTTTAGGCGCAGCTGAGGGAAGCTGATGTTAAACCGCAGAAAATTTGTCAGACCTGTAAGTTGATTTCGTCATTTTTTTCTCAATTCGTCATTTCTCTTCATTTATCAATGATTTTGTAGATTTGTTATCAGAAGAGTATATTTTTTTTTAAATTATTCTTATAATAAAAATTTGCTTATTTAATGCGCTTTAACTGTGCTTTAACTACACTTTTACTATGCTTTAACTGCACTTTCACTGCACTTTTATTGTGCTTTCAATGCGCTTTTGATGCGCTTTCCAGGGGGCAACGCCCCCTTGGACCCCCGACATAGCTGCAAATTTTTAATTGTTTTTTTTGTCAGATAGTCATAATGCATGCTGGAATAGTTCTTTAATTGTTTTTTAACTTTGTTTGACAATTTTTAATTGTTTTATAATATGCCACCCAATTTATTAAGCATTTATTTATTCTACTACACCAGTGAATTTAAAAGCAAAATGAGCTCTAATGTTGGTAGGAGTGGTTCAGAAGAGCCATCTATAGAAACTGATAAGCCATTATGGATTCATGTTACAAAGTTAGGAAAAATTTTTGGAGGAGGGAATGTGTCATTCAAATGCAATTATTGTGGTGGCACCTACAAAGGATCTTATTCTAGGGTGAAAGCACATCTGCTTAAGATTTCTAGCCATGAAATTAAAATGTGTCATAAGATTACTACATCACAGTTGATTGAATTGAACAAACAAGTTGATGAAGCTAAATCTAGGATCAAAAGGGCACTTCCTAAAGAGATATCTTTGTCATCTATCCATAGTTCATCTCACACTTGTTCCTCATCTGTTAGAGTTGATCAATCATTATCATATAGAAGTGAAGGATATGATTTAAAGAAAAGAAAAAGAGTTGCCAGTAGTGTTTTAGAAAATACTTTTAACATGCAGCAGCGAGAGTAATTGGATGATAAAATTGCAAGAATGTTTTTTTTTTTCAGCTGGACTTCCTTTCAACCTTGCAAGAAATCCTCATTATAAAAATGCATTCATTTTTGCATGTAATAACAACCTTGCAGGTTATGTTCCACTTGGCTATAATGTATTAAGATCAAAATTATTGGAAAGAGAAATGACACATATTGAAATATTGCTTGAACCAACAAAAGGTGTGTGAAAAGAAAAAATGAGTCACTTTGATGTGTGATGGTTGGACTGATCCTCAAAGAAGACCACTTATTAATTTCATGGTCGTTACAGAGAATTATCCAATATTTATTAAAGCTGTGAATTATGAAAAAGAATACAAGGATAAATATTTCATTGCCAATTTGATTAAAGAGGTGATAGTACTGTACTAGGTCGGCATGTAGCGGAACTGTACTAGGTCGGCATGCAGAATGATGTAGAGAAGTTGGTGGCCAGTTGTGATGTATGTCAAAGACACAAATACCAGGTTATGGCTCCAGGTGGTCTTTTACAGCCTTTTGCTTTACCCGAGAATGTGTGGGAAGATGTGACTATGGACTTCATTGAGGGATTGCCTAAGTCAAAAGGATTCACCGTGACTCTAGTGGTGGTGGACATATTGAGTAAATACACTCATTTCATTCATCTACGCCACTCATATACTGAGGTTGATGTAGGCAGGGGGGTCAAAACAAGATGAGAATTTGTTTTGACCCTTGGGCTTCTGGTGTTCTCGGGTGAGCCTTGGTTGCTTAGTATTGAGCTCAAAATGTTGGAATTTTACTTAGTTTTAGCTCATTAATGTTGAGCTGAAGTTTAGTTCATTAATGTTAACCTGCCGTATAAAACAAAACAAAAAAATGAAAAAAAAAAAATCTACAAACCCATCTGCCTTCCAAAATTTACCTCGGAACTTAGTTCGTTAAAACTCCCTCGCCGAATAAGAAGAGCGAGTGGAGGCCGGGGACGAATTTTCGGAGCCCACAATTAAATGGGAGATTTATTGCACTTCCTAGCTCATTAATCTAAAAAGGCATGCTCTAAAGTCTTGGATTCATTTTGGAGTGGACTTGCCTCTTCTCCTCCTCTTTGTCTATTTGTTTTCTTGTGCTGGTGGTTTTCCCGTGCCTTGTCCCTTGGGTTCCCGTGGCTGACTGTTGGTTTCCTGTGCTGGGTGGTTTTCCCGTGCTTTTGACTCTTTGGTTCCCATAGCTGCTGCTCGGTTCTGCAGCTGGCTGCTTGGTTCTGCGGCTGGCTGCTCGGTTCCGTGGCTTTTCTGCTTGGATCCCGTGGGCTTTCTTCTCTATTTTACTGTGTCGTTTGGGGACTGAGGTTATGTGGCTGTTGGCCTTTCATTTTTGCTAAATCTAATAGGTTTATTTACTGCTGTTTGGGGGGGAATTCCATGGGATTTTTCATGTTTTTTGTGCAATTTTCATGCAGTTGTTTGCAGTCTTTTGGCCTTCTATATTTCTTGAATTTAATGGGTTTAATGGGAGATATTTGGGCTGTTTGGCTGCCCTCTTTGTGCCTATAAATAGGGGCTGATTTGTATGTTTAGAAAAATGTTGAAAATGTGATTTTTGGAGTAAGAAAACCTGAGGGTTTTATTGGAAAAGCTTGAGTGCTTTGTCCACTTATTATTCTTCTCTATCTTGGGATAACTTGCGAGTTACTCCTATTCTTCGTCTTGGCTTCTAATCCATTTCTTCTCTACGCAAGTGCCACCCTATGATGCACCGACACTTCTCCTCAAAGAGGCGTGCAGTGTCTGACACCGTGTTTGACACGACACTCGTCCGACACTCCTCCGACACTTGTCGGACACGCCGAAAACGTATCCGATTAAAAAAAATATTAAAAACAAATTGGACACTCGTGTCCGACATACATATCTTAAATATTTTATAATTTTTTTAAAATATAGTTTCTTATATTTGGCGAGATTTAAACTAAATTTCTTATTTCCTATTCACAACACCAAATCAACTTCTGCATTTAATACCCATTCATCGAATATTCTCATTTTTATTTCTCTTTGACAGTGAAGGTATTTTCATCTCCTCTCTTTTTGCACAATTACAAATCTTTCTCTTGTTGAACCAGAATTGAAAGCAGTGATATGATGATGATATTGAAGGCCAAAAACAAACCTCTAAAGCTAATCATAGTAGTTGAAGCTTGAATGTTTGATGTTGTAGTAAGTGATTATTTGCTTATATTTTTGTGGTTGTACTAGTTATTTTGTACTAAATATTTTATATTATAAGCTAGACAAGTTATCATGTCATTCATTTATTATTATTTTTCATTTTTAATATGATATTACTTATATATATATATATATATATATATATATACATATGCTACATAAAAAAATGTATTGTCGTGTCCGCGCCGTACCCGTGTCCTATATTTTCAAAAAAAAGTCGTGTCCCGTGTCCGTGTCGCCGTGTCCGTGCATCATAGGTGCCACCTCACCTGTATCTTTCTTTTCAACGATTGGCAAGCTCCTTTAGGTTTATTGTGTCCAAGATTATAAGGTGTTTGTGTCCAAGTTTGTAAGTGTCTTTATATGATAAAAAAGGTGTCTTTTAGTATTTTATATATTTTTGTAGTATTTTGTGCATCTTCTAAGTTATAGGAAGAGTTTTCTTTTGTTAGCAAAAATTTGGGGTCGCATCAGAGGTGCCAGTGGCAACTGCTTTCATTAGGGTTTAGGGACGTTTGCATAGCATACCCGAGTCCATTGCTAGATGTCACATTCATTTCATTGACTTCTTAGAAATTTGTTTGGCAAAAAAAAAAAGTTTTAGGGGCGGCATGTCAAGGGGTTGCATTCTTTTGTTATTTTAATACTTAAAGCATAAACTAGGTGTCCAAAATTTATTCATGGATGCTAATAGCCACCAACATGCTCTTCTAAGTATCCTCCAATAAAAAATGATTGGCTTTGAGGTGAACAAAGAATTTTCTTCCAAAGAGTTAGATTTTTCGAAAAAAGTAGCAGCAATGCTGAGAAGACTTTTCAGCATTTTCAGCTAAAAAATGGATGATTTTTTTTTTTTTTTTTTTTTTTTTTTTTTTTTTTTTTTTTTTTGGAGATAGTTGTGCATTCCTTGATGGTCACTATGGTATGGTATCTTATGTAATTGTCATGGTGGTCTTATAGAAATTTTTTTGGATGAGATAAGATCATGAACCTTGTAGAAATTAGTTTTATTGGCCTTTTTTTATAGAATAGCTAAAACTTGTTGGCCTTGTAGAACCTTTTTCATAGATAAGATTTACCATGTTGCCAAATTAAATTTTTTTTGAGGTGGCTGTAGGTTTTTGTAATGTTGTTGTTAGAAAAATAACATTTTTGAAAGTTGTTTTGGTATCACAAATATTTTTGTGTTTTTTTAAAAAAGTTGGACAGTATCTTTCTTAGAATTACAAAACTTTCGTAGGTTTGGTTGGAAAAAGTAGTTCTTCACCGCATAAGTTTATGAAAAATATCTTGAAAGTAGGAGCCAAATGGTTGTGTAACAGTGGTTTGAAAAGCAAAGCAATAGAAAAGTTGCCTAGAATAGACCCCATGAAGATAGAGATCTAGATTCTACATTTTCAATGCGTAGTCGCCATGGATGAGCTTGTGTATATGCTTTATTTTGGGCCTTCCAAACACACTATATGCATATTCAATCATCATGGTAATAGATTAGTTATCCAAGATGGTGCATGATGTCATCTGCCATAATAACTAAAATTCATTATTTTATATCTAGTCTTTAGTTATTTGAGATTGTATGTTTATGTGATTTTCCAAATCAATTGCTAGATTCTTGAAGTTCTTTTCATACTCTTTTAGTTTCTTGAGATCTTCATCTCTCATTTCTTTCAGTGTCAAGGTCTAGTTAAAGTAGAAAAATATCTATATAGCAATATCCTGCAGATTATATATGGTGATATGTTATTAATGATATCCAATGCATTGTTTCAAGATACCAACAAGGAAAAAGATTGTGTACTGACATTATGATTAGAAGCATCATGTGTGCCTTACCAAATATTAAAAAAAAATGGCTTCCGAACTAGGCAATGATATTTTTCAAGCCTTTCTCCCATTATATTATTGTTTGCAAAGAGGAATATTTCTCTTAAGTAATGTTTTTTGAACATGGGACTTTGTTTTTAATGGTCTTCCGCATTCATGGCACATTTTAGCTTCTTTCATTGAAAGTTTCTCTGGTATAGCATGAAAAATGTTTACCTACTTAAGCAGCGGTATGAGATAATGTTGTAGCCTCATACAAACTGCAGCATTTTCTTGAAGCATTTTTGTCACTAATATTATGCTAATTTTTCTCCAAATTTCTTTCCTTCACTGGCAATGCGGAACTTCATTTTGTGGGATTGGTCTAATGATGTTAAACTTATATTTCAACTATCTTTTTGAAATTGCTTTTTGTGACTTAATAATCTAATCTCCACAGGATAATTATGCAATGGAATTCGTTGTCATTGACATGGGAAGAGGTAGTTTGAATGTGCATCCAACATCAGTCTCCTACATTTTCTTGTATTGTCGTTTTTAAACACATCTTTACTGGTGTAATAATTGGCAGGTGAGCCCGTAGGGATATATTCTGCTCCTTTAAAGCAGATAGCTTATGAGGTTCATCCTAGTTCCAGTTCGCAGAGCTCTTGCTATGATGTAACATGGAGAGATTTGTCAGCTAAAAGAACGGTGAAATTTCCATCTTATGAGCTTTTGAACCTTCCCAGGTCCCATGATTATCACCAGGATTTAGCTGATGAGTTGTAATTGATGTGTGTCAGGATTTTCACAATGATGCTCATGGAGAAGTGCATGGAAGAATAAAATGTGCTGTACTACTTTCTATTCAAGATGACGTTAATAAAGAGAACAATGATCAAAATTCTGGGAGAAGAGTTGGATTAATACAGATTAGTCCTACAAGGGAAGGACCATGGACAACTGTGAGGTTAAACTATGCTTCCCCTGCAGCATGTTGGAGATTGGGCAATGACGTTGTTGCCAGTGAATTATCTGTGAAAGATGGCAACAGATATGTGAGCATACGGACTTTGGTTTCTGTTATTAACAACACTAATTTTAATATTGATCTACGTCTTAAATCAAAATGTTCTATTGAGAGCTTGGATTTTTTGGGTGATGAAAATGAGAATGGAAACAAAGGACCTGATTATAACAGAATTCACATGGATGAAATATTTGAAACCGAAAAATACAGTCCGTCTGGTGGTTGGGTCAGCTGTTCTCAGCAGTCGCCATCCTCAAATTCTTATGCTGTAAGGTCAATTAAAGATGTGCATCAGGTGAGTAAATTAATGTCTCTTTAGTATGTAGCTTCTGCTCTTATGTGGCTTTATGCCTTACCTGTTGTTGTTCTGTCCCAAGCCAGCTTACATTTACTATTATAACTGACAATAGACGAGTGCATGATATTGCAATTCAATTCCCAGTATTTTGCTGTCTACATGTTAAAGTGAAACTTTTTCTTCAACTTGACTTAGTCCAGGCAAACTGTGAGCTTTATTTGTTTTTATTATAAAAAAATATGCCATTTGATCCCAACAAGGATACTTATAAGGATGTTTATATGAAACTATATCCTACAATAAAGATATTTATAGACATAAGCACACAACATTGTTTTGCCCAAATTGATGACTACGATGTGGAGGGAAAAGCAAGATATGGATGTGGGGCATGCCCAACTGATTCGCCCGAGATTTCTCTCTCAGCCTCTTCTTACGAGATTTTTTCCATTTTTTCATTGTCATTATGGCTCTTTCTCCCTCCCATCTTCTCTATTTCATCAGTCTATTTTGATTTTTCTCTTTACTCTATACAGTTTATTTCACTCTCAATTTTCTTGTTTTCCTTTCTTTTCATCAATCACGCCATTTCTTTCTCTCTTGTGGCTGTCATTTCCAAAGTACTATTTTCCTTCTATATTCTGTTACAATTCCTTTGAAAATTAAAATTTTTTTTTTCCAACATACCATTGCATCAAATATTTTGTTGCAGAGCATAAAGGATCAACCATCTAGTGTAGATTTTTCTTTATTATGACGCTGTTATTGCAAAATCTTGTCATGTTTGCTAAAATTCACATAGTTCAGTTGTTATCTACACTTGCACCCTTGACTTCATCACTCCTATCAGTCCCATCAGAATAATTTGATCATGATGATCATCTATGTCTTCACTAACAGAAGGAAGAATGGGATTAGCCACAATTGGAGAGTTAGAACCACTCGCTTATTTACAAAACATGTAGAAGCCATGTCGATAGGGCTACCGTTGGTAGGTTAAGAGGAAAATGATCTGGTTTCACATTTTGAGAGCAAATTCAAAGTGAGCGGCAACCATCTAACTTTTTGTGACTATCAGGTGTGTGCAGTGCCTTAGCTACTGTCTGCTCTCATCACATGAGTGTTTTACTTGCACACCGTCCATGCTACTGTGTTGTTGCACACCATCAAGCCCCATTGATGCGCACTATGCATCCTAATGCTTCCAATTTTTTGCACGCTGCTTACTGATTTTGAGAGCATGGGGATGAATTCAGGTGGGCCATCGAGGGCTTTGTCCTTGAACCCCTTTTCCCTCTTAGGAGACTTCTCTCCTCTTCGGGGGACTTTCTTCCACCGTTCTCGTTCTTTGCCACTTTTTTCCTCACCAATGCACTTGTCATCCCTCCTTTTCTTTGTTCTCATTCCATTCCAGTCACCTCACTTCTTATATGTTTTACGATCACAACAATTCTTACAATTTAGCCACCTTCATTACCTCCTCTGCTCTTTCGATTGCTCACATTTCATCAAATCATGTGCCTCTAGTTCAAAATTTTTATTCCCTTTTTGCAAAAACACAAGATTCCATCCCTCTACTTCTGTCCACTTTTCTCCTTCCTCTAGTTTTAAAATTACGTAATTAGATATTGAGACGTAATTCGATCATGAGGCGTGGCGTAAGCCTCACGACATTTTGAGTTGTAAGTCTCAAAATCCAAAAATTGCTTAAAGTGAAGGTAAAGTAAATTTTTACATAATACCCATGTAATATGTTAAAGGATGACTTATTAACTTTCTATTCAACTATAAAGTAACAAATTAATATACATATGAAACAAAAAATTACACTAGACGTAAAGTGGCAAGTTTTAATTTTGTTACAAAAGCAAACCAACATAAAATATAGGAATTTCATAAAAGTATCTCATAACATCAAGTTAAACTTTAAATTCCTTCTTTCCCCGTTACACATCTACATTTAATTCTTAAAGAAAGTTAAAATAGTTGATAATAACTCAAAGATCTCTATATTGTCATCACTTAGATGGGTCTTTATTTGTATCAAATTGGTCTTTCCCCTGCCTCATCCAGTGAAGTATAATGCCTGCCAATCTGCTTCTTTATTTATTACAATCATCTTCCTCTTTTTTAATTGTTTGTCATTTTTATAAAAATGAGAATAATACTCCAAATTTTTATAAAAGATAGCGGTGATGTGCGGCTTTCAAGTGATCTCTGATGTTGACTACAATGGTGTTGGATGCAACGAAGGTTGCTAGGTAGAGGTCGGGACAGTCGAGAGAAAGTTGTTGTAGCTTGGTGCATGAAGGCATGATTTGTTCGAGGCTTTAGTTTAGGATTTAAGTAGGTTTTAATAATAATAATAATAATAATATATTTAGGATGAGGCGTAAGCCTCACACCAATGAGGCAAGGTGATCCTCAAGAATCACCTTAGACAAGGTGAGGCACAAGCCTCATAAAAAACTCAAAGCGTACGCCTCGAGGTGTTTTTCACCGGAGTTGTGCTGAGACGGGCCTCAAGGCAAGCCTTGTATTGTGCAAAATTAAAGAATGCACCGAATTATGAATAACGTTTGTTCATTTCAAAGCAAACTTAGGATAATTGTTTTTGTTGAAGAGATCTTCGAGCCGGTTCATTCGCTTTCTTTATCTTTTGTTGGCGAAATTTTATTTGCTTGTCCTAACGTTGATGTCAATTTTAAATTCTTGGAAAATCTATACTTAGTTGGTGATCATTCAATTGATATCCTTAATCATCGTGACATCATTATAAGGTTAGCTTCATATGCAAATTACATTACGCTCTTTTCTAGATGCACCTAGTTTCCCCATATCGACACATCAGTGAAACTACTGATCACACTTTTTTGGGTAGCCTTTCCGTAGCTTCGATTACATTATTTAAGCCAATACAATTTATACTCTGTATTTAATTTTTGGCAAAACCATATAATTGGACAGTAATACTGCTTGTCATATGAGGTTCTTTAGAGAGACTTGTTGAAATTGGAATGTACTTTGCTGTTCATGGAGTTTGATTCATAGTCTTGTTTGAAGGCATCCCTCATATTAATGGGGAAAGGGCAAAAGCATGAAAGCTGAGAATTGTAATGTAATGGGGAGAGATATTTAACTAAATGCATTTTGGAAGAAAGAATATAAAACCCCATCATCTTGACCAAGGTTTTAAAAGGCGAAATCGGGAATCGAGGCGTTTTTTCTAAGCGAGGCGAGGCGTAAGCCTCGAGGCGGATCGAGGCTTAAGCCTCAAAACAATTAAAATAAATTAATTTAAAATTATAAATAATAAAAAAATAACAAAATATTATGTCAACTATTAATTTGAAGATTTGTTTTCAGATAATATTAGTGGAATACAAGATTTAAAATAACCTCACTTAAAAATAAAACATCCCCTTAGGATCAAGACCCAAAGCAGGCTCATCATCACTTTGATTGTCTTCAGAAGAATCTTCATAATTAATGTCAAAGTCATCCTCTAACTCTTCTTCATCTATAATATTTTTCCTTTATCTCCTATATCAGTTAATATTTCATTAGCTCTAAAATGAAACAATAGTAACATACAAAATAATTCATTATATTTAAGAATACCTTTAAATTTTTTTGAAGCTTCAATCTCACTTTGTTTCTTTCTTTTATATACTTAGGTAGTTGCTTTATTGTCTTCTTCATTGACATGAGTTTCTCCTTCTGCTTCAACTTCAGAAACATCAGCATTCTTAGGAGTAACCCATTCATCATCAGATTGTAACTCATCAACAAGCAAAGGATCAATTTCATTCTCAATATTTCCTTGATTCTACAATCTGAGATGTCAATCTTTCAGTTTTTTGTTAAACATAACATAAACTAATTTGTTCATTCGATCTGCCGCCAATCGATTTCTTCTCTTTGTATGAATTTGATTGAAGAT